CGTGGTGCCGCGTGCTCCGCGTGGAATCCAGCGGCGACGGGCCCTGCGGGGAGGGGGACGGCAGAGGGGCTCGGCACCGGCTCCCGAGCGCGGGAGGGGGTGAAGGGATGGGGGAACATCCGTCCCCAGGCCCCCGGCCCCGCCGTGGAGTCACCTGGAAGTCGGGAACGCCGGTGCCGATCTGGTTGACGTTGGGCAGGGAGCCGCTGTAGAAGGGCCCCCGGCTGTGGGCCAGACGCAGCTTCTGCGCCTGCAGCTGTGGGGACACGGGGGGGACGTGTCAGGGGGTGTCACAACCCGCCCCTCACGGCACCCCGGGATGCGCAGGCTCCCCCTTCCCGCACAGCGGGGACGATCCAGGTCCGGCCTCTTCCCGCAGGCAGAGCGGGACGGATGAGGGTCAGGATCCCGAGCGGGGAGCCCTGCTCCACGCTCCCGGAGCAGAGGCTGGGCCCGGCATCCCCTGCGTCCCCCCTGTCCCCACCAGGCTCCGGGCTCAGCCTATCCCCACAGATCCAGAGGGATTTCCACGCTCCCGGAGCAGAGGCTGGGCCCGGCAGCCCCTGTGTCCCCCCTGTCCCCACCAGGCTCCGGGCTCAGCCCGTCCCCACAGATCCAGAGGGATTTCCACGCTCCCGGAGCAGAGGCTGGGCCCGGCAGCCCCTGCGTCCCCCCAGCCCGGCCTGGCTCCGGGCTCAGCCCATCCCTACAGATCCAGAGGGATTTCCACGCTCCCGGAGCAGAGGCTGGGCCCGGCAGCCCCTGCATTCCCCCTGTCCCAGCCTGGCTCCGGGCTCAGCCCATCCCCACAGATCCAGAGGGATTTCCACGCTCCCGGAGCAGAGGCTGAGCCCGGCAGCCCCTGCGTCCCCCCTGTCCCCGGGCTCAGCCCATCCCCACGCATCCAGAGGGATTTTCCACCTCATCCACGCCAAGGCCATCCCGGAGATTCCAGCGCGGAGCGGGACTCAAGGCCGGGGACGGAGCCACAGCAGAGCACGGCGGGAGATAACGGGATCCCAAAAACACCCGGGATTCCCGGGACAGGGAACAGCCCCCACCACCCCTCCAGCACCAGGGGATGGCCCAATCCCCCCATCCTGACGGAGCAGAGCTCCCCTGATCAAACCAACCCACAGGGAGGAAGCATTTTCCTGGGCTAAACCCACACAAATCCCCTCTCCCTCTGGAGCTGGGGGTCCCTGGGGTCCCAAGAGCTGCTGCTCCTCAGCGCCTGGAGAAGCCCCAGGGAAAGAGAAGCTGAAGCCCAAAAAACAGCTGAGAAACGGGAAAGACCAAATTCCTGAGCGTAAAACCACGGAAATCCAGATCCAGAGGGAAAAACAAGGGAAACAACCCAAAAACCCAGGAGATTTAGGCAGCAGCTGGCGGGATTAGCGCCCGGAGCTGCGCTGGGGCTTAAGGTCTTGGGATGGAGCACTGAGCTCCGAGCCAGGATCCCTGCGGGAGCCTGGAACCCGGGAGCAGCTCCCAAAGAGCCGGGAAAAGCTCCAGGAACCACGGAGCAAAGCTCGGGGGGCTGCGGATCCCACACGTGGGGAACGGAGCCGCAGGAACCGGGGATGAGGGAAGGAATTCCCAGAGAAGCCATCCCAGAGAGGGATCAGGGGGTGAATTCCCGGAGGAGAGATTCCAGGCAGGGATCAGGACAGCCCCGCTGCACATTAACCAGCTGTTTGCTCTGCAAACACGGCGGAGGCTTCCCAAAATCCCTGGGGATGGAAGCAGGCAGAGGATCCGGCCCGTTCCCAAACTCTCCAGGGATGCTCCACCCCATTCCTAAACTCTCCAGGAAGGGACAGAAAGGTCCGGCCCATCCCCGAACTCTCCAAGGATGTCACTGTCACTGTGACATCCCAAATCCCAGGTCCCCGCAGAGCCGGGAGCCACGGGGCTCTCCTAGTGGAAAATTCCTGGTTTTTAAAGCTCTGCTGGGTATTCCCTGGATCGTCCCAGGCCCGGAGCGGGCCCCATCCCCTGGAGGGGCCTCTCCGTGTGTCCCCGGATTCCACACTCCACATCCTCGCTCCTCCATCCTGCAGCTTTGCTAGGAAGGACCGAATTCCACCAAACCCCGGGATGGCGGACACGAAATTCCCCCAGGTTCCGGGAGGCAATTCCTGACCGTGCTTTTAGGAAAGCACATCTGGAGCACTCCCGGCCTTCCCGATTCCCCGAGATCCCTCGAGGGAGGCCAGCATTCGCTCTTCCCGGAGCTGCCGAGCGGGATTTATCCCAGATCCCATCCCGGGAGCGGCTCCCTGCCTTGGCCGGGTCCAAACGAGCCCAGCCTGAGCATCTCCGAGGGTCCCGGGCACGGGGACAGAGCCGCAGCTTTGCGGAGGGGACAGGGGTGGGATCCCAGCGATCAGGGATCCTCTTCCCAGCCCGATCCCGGG